GGAGCTCTTGAAAAAGTTCAAAGAAAATAAAAATAGACAACAGACTATTTTGACTTCAATAGCTTCAACTTCTGGTTTTAATGAACAAAAACAATTTAATTTTGACTTGTGTAGTGCTATGGTTAAATCGGATATTCCATTAAATAAATTACAGAATAGCTCTTTTACACAATTTCTACAGAAATATTGCAAAAAAAAACATTCCAGATGAAAGTACTCTTCGTAAAAAATATGTTTCACCAGTTTCTGACGAAAAAATGCAGCAAATTAAAAAGAAGATAGCAAATAATTATATATGGTTTGCTGTAGATGAAACAACTGACACATGTGGAATGAATATATCGTCACAGAAGGATTTTTAATAAGTTTTAAAGAATTAACAAAAACGAATTATAACACTGTTTCTAGATTTGTTCTTGATGAATTAAACAAGTTCTTTTTGCCCGAGGTGGTTCCGAATGAAAAAATTCTATTGATGCTTTCGGATGCTGCAGCATACATGATAAAAGCTACATCAAATTTAAAGGTTTTTTACTATAATGGGCTTAACCGCTTAGCTGAAACTATAAGATTGCAGTATCCGTTGGTCAACACATTAATAAAAAATGGCAAAAAAATACTCATAAAAGCTCCATTGAAAGTACAATTTTTTAAAGAGAGATTGCCTGATGTTCCATTACCTCCAGAACCCATTGTAACAAGATGGGGAACTTGGCTAGATGCTGCCATGTACTATGCCGATAATTTTACAGAATTTAAGAGATTGTTACTTGAATTTAAAGACACAGAAAACAAAGCAGTTCAAGAATGTCAGGAAGTGGTAAAAATACCTGAACTTGCACACAATTTAGCTTTTATTAAAAGTCATTTTAAATTTGTAAGTCAGAGCTGGAAAAACAACAGCTACCTTTATTGGAATCCGTCAATGTTATTAAAAGATTTGAAGCTGCAGTAAATACTATTCCAGGATCTATTGGTTAAACAATTAAAGAAAAATTGGTCCAGACTCTCTCGAAAAATACAGGGTTCCAAACATTGAAAAAAATATCTATTTTAATTGGTAGGCAAGATTCCGATTTTGAAATGGATCCAGCCATTATCCCGAAATTTAAATATGCACCAATAACCAGTGTAGATGTGGAGCGTAGTTTTTCTGCATACAAAAACATTAACAGACAGAAGACATAATTTTACCATGGAAAATTTGGAGAAACATTTAGTAGTTATACATTTCTTTAGGTCTTAATAATAGATATAATGTAAAAATAATAAAATGTATCATTTAAATAATAAACACCAATATTAAGATTATTACAACTTTTTTTTGCCTCTATATATTAATTATTTTTAATTAACTTGCTTTTTTGGCAAATTTTTAAGAGCTTTTTATTTAATATTTTAATACTTTTTTAACCACTTATTTATCCGGTCTCCAGTGATGAACATGCTCAAACCATCACAAAATGTTTCACTTGTGAACTGTAATTATATGTATAATTATATATTCATATATATATATATATATATATATATATATATATATATATATATATATATATATATATATATATAAGTTTGGGATTAAAATAAAAAACTTCCACGTAAGGTAAATGTTATAATTTTTAAAACATGTACCATTTTAAAATTAAATTATATAAGTTACTGCATAACAAAAATTAAAAAAGTACACCTGTACCTTTCCGTGCACATAAGGGTTAAAGATTATCAGTTGATTTTCTGTTATTTTCTTTTCGTTTATAATTTAAAAAAAGCTACCAGACACTACTATGATTTGGGAATACGTTCAGTGTTTTTGTAAACCCCTTTATAACCATGCATAAAATAAATATAGGACTTACTTTAATGTAACTGCTAGGCGGTCTTTGGGTGAAATAGCTTTTCGAAAGTTGTTATTTTGTTTTCTTAGTGCTAAGATATGTAGGGTAATGGCACCAGTAATTGCCACTGTGCCAGTAGTTGCCATTTATTATTTAAACATTCAAAAACAATAAAATATGCAATATCTGTGCATATGGCGCACTCCCTACGTGTAACGTATTGTATCTAGTGTATTATGTATTTAGAACTGTCACCAGGTGGCGCATTTTTTGACAGGAAAAAAACTAGTTAGGCAACTTGTTGCATCAGCTGTTTTTAACGGATTTCTTATAAGTTTGGTTAAGAAAGTTTAAGATTAGTTTTTCGTGATATTGGCATAATTTGTTAATTAATTTGAGTTTTGTTTGTGCAATAGGCGTATATGGTAAGTATTTTAAATGATACCCATATAAAATTAACGTTTAATTGAAAGATTATTTTGATTTAGAGTAGTGGCAATAACTGGAGCATTTTTTTTCTTTTGACCCAATATTTGCCATTTGTGGCAATTACTGGTGAATTTTGGATTATCGTAATATGACCTTTATTAAAGCTTTAATGTAACCTATAATATTTAGTTTGTCCCTGACATTATAAGAACATTATATTAAAAGAGAGTCCAGTAATTGCCACCACTTTTTAAATGTGTCAATTACTGGTTCACTTTAGTGGCAATTATTGATCCAGGTATAAAATCAACATCAACATGGAACAAAAAAAGCCCTTTTTTCGCTATTCTTAAGAAAGCATGGAAAATGCAGTGGCTGCTTGTCGAGGTGGTATGCCATTTTCAACTACTGCCAAAACATTTTCGGTCCCCAGAAATACTTTAAAAAATAAAGTTAAGGGGAAGACTCCCATAGAGCGAAAGATGGGTCCACCCACTGTATTGACCACAAAAGAGGAAAAGGCTTTAGTTAAATGGATTATGGACATCTCAAATAAGGGGTTTTCTCCACATAAAGATAATCTTCTCATAACCGTTCAAAAGATTATGAAAAGTTGTAATCGTAAAAATCCTTTTGTAAACGACAAACCTGGACGAAAATGGTTATCATCATTTTTTAGAAGAAATCCTACAGTAGCTGTAAGGGTTCCTGAAACACTGACATCCACAAGAGCATCTGTAACGGAAGAAAAGCTAAGGAATTGGTTTACAGAAGTGTATACTTGTTTAGAATCAGATAATTATACTGACGTACTTAACCACCCTGAGCGTGTATTTAATTGCGATGAATCGGCATTTCAAATTTGCCCAAAATCAAATAAAGTTATTGGTCCACGAGGCGAAAAAAACGTCTATGAAATAGCAAAGGGATCAGACAAAGAGTCCATTACAGTAGCCATAACGGTTGGTGCTAATGGTTCCTTATTACCACCATTTCTTTTATTTTCGTATGTTCGATTACCAGGCCCACTGATTTCAAATGTTCCCAATGAATGGATTGTTTGAAAAAGTAACAAAGGATGGATGACTGGAGAATCCTTTTTTGAGTATATCGCAAATGGTTACTTACAAATAATATAGCATTTCCGGTCATTTTGTTCATTGACGGGCATAGGTCACATTTGACTTTGCACCTCAGCAACTTTTGCAATGAGAAAAAAATCATATTGGTAGCTCTGTACCCGAATTCTACTCATATAATTCAACCCTGCGATGTTTCGGTATTTAAACCTCTTAAAGATCAGTGGAAAAAAACTGTGCATAAATGGAGACTAGACCGAAATATTGACAATCTTATTAAAACAAATTTTCCACTAATGTTTGGGGAGGCTATAGTCTTATATATAAAAGGAATAACCAAAGAATGCATTGTTAATGGTTTTAGAAGATGTGGGTTATATCCATGGTCAGCTGATGCTGTAGATTATACTAAATGTGTAAAAAATAGATTGCCAAGTATAGCTGATGTTAAAGAAGTGATCCCTGCTGTAAATGAAAAAAAGAATACTTTTTATATCAAATACTTAGAAACATTTATTTCTACTGAAACTCTTAAGCTGTTTAAAAATTGTGAAGCAACCGAAAAATGGTCAGGGGAAGAAAAATGGCTAGAGTTGTTTAATGTTTGGCTTCAAGTAAAAAAATCAGAGGCAGAAAAGGAAATCAGTGAAACAATATCAGCAGAGTCAGCTCTCAATTCTCCGCAAAGAGATGCCACCCCAAAAAAAGTTCAAGAGGTATTCAGAGACGAAAACTTACCAGGGCCTTCTACAGGGAGATACTATTCAACTATAAGAACCTCTTCGTCACCAACAAATTCAAATAAATCTCCTGAGCAACAACCTACTGAGACATCCTGCGAAAAAGAAAATGAAGGCATAGCTACAGTAAACATCGATTCAGAAAATCAAATCCCCAAATGTAATAGAACGAATGTACTCTCAGAAATTTATCCTCAGAATTTACCTTTAAAAAGTCCTGGAATGAATTTTGAAACACCAAAAACTCCTGATCTACATAGCGAAAACTCTAACTCAAGTGTTGGGACACCTTTTAAAAAGGCACTGATATGGCCAGAAGTGCCGGAAATTAAAAAAAGAAAAAGATCAACCGAGAGAACACCATCTGTGGTAACTTCGAAAGAATGAAAAAAGTTTATGCTACAGAAAGAAGAAAAAAAGAAAAATATTGAAAAAGAAAAAGAGCAAAAAAAAATTACGAGAAGAAAAAAAGCAAATGAAGCTACAAGAAATACAGAGAAAAAAACAATTACTTAAGAAGAAAAAAAACAATATTCCTCTACATAAAGAAAGTGATACAACTGATAGCGATGAGAGTCAAGAATCATTTGAATATGCTGATAGCACATCTTCTGCCTCTGAAGATTTCTCAGATCTGACACAAGGGGTGCGTTCGTATATAAAGAGTAAACACGTCCGGACGTTTATTTTTTACCGAAACCCGTTCGTAAACAGAGGATGTTGGTCCTAAACATTTCGCCCAGGGCGTTCGTATTTAATGGAAAATTACGTCGGGGCGAAATAATTTTACCCACCTCTGGAAGGTAGGTAAAATTTGCCTGACTTGCGCATTTGCATTATAACCAAAGATATTATCTGTGATTATAACCTATTATTTATAAATAGTTTTTGTATTTATTTTTCTACGTTTCAAAATGAGTGAAGAAATTAGTCCTGACAATTTTTTAATTGTAACACAACCTAATGGGAACTGCATCATTGATCAAAATTCCATTTTGTTGCAAAGAATTACAGGTATAAAATATTTTCTATAATTTAGTAGTTTGTACTTAATTTTGTTGTTTTAGATGAAACCTATCTCTATGCAGATATGGAATTGGTTATGAAATCTTTTAATATTCAAATTGAAAAACCAGTAACTGTGTGTACAAAAGAAAAAGAAGACCAAGACAAACAGTTAAGATCCACTTGGACAAGGGAAGAGATTTTAAATTTAATAAATTTGTACAAGGAATATGAAAATAAATTTAAATCTACAACTGTAAAAAATGACAAAGTGTGGCAGGATATAAGTTTAAAAATTTCATCCCATACTTGGGAGCAATGTAAAAATAAATTTAAATATTTAAAAAGCAAGTACATCGAAAATAAAGACAATATGGGTGCTAAAGCTAGTGGAGCAAAGGCCATTAAATTTGAGTTTTTTGATGAAATGGACGACATTTTTAAATTACAACCCAATGTTAACCCAGTGGCTATTGCTTCAAGTAGCAGGGGACTAAAAAATATCACTAATATTTTAGACCAGGGTCCAAACGACAACAAAAGAAAAGCTGAAGAGGACAGTGAAAAACCAGTTAAAAAAAATAAAACATCCAATAGTTCATACAAAAAATCTAACAGTTCATTTCGAGAAATTCAAGAAATAAGAGAAAATGGAAGAAATAGAAGGCATGAGGAAAACCTCGAAGTAATGAAAGAACTGGTTTCTGTATTTAAAGACCTTACAGAAGCAATAAAAAAGCATTAAAAAATTCAGTAGGGGATCATTTTTATTTTTACTTATTTTTACACATGCAGTATTAGAATATTTTTTTATTTATATACATATTATGTATAGACTGTTTTGATATTTTTTTTATTTATGTCTTTCAAACAACTTGTTCCTTGTCTATTAATTTTAATGTATATTGTACCATACTTTCTTGTGTTCCTTTAAAATAGACAATAATACAAGTTTTCTGAAAGAGTTATTTTTATGTGCCTATGTAATAATGTCTATGTTGATTTATGTTTTGTTTTTATTTATTTAAAGAAATTCTCTTTATGTTACCACAAAATATATGTTTTTTAAGTTTTTTTAAGTTTTTTTTATTAGGAGACTTGGGTAAGAAATAATAAAATTTTATTTTTAAATTTAATATTTATTTATAAATAATAAATTGATTATTTAAAAATTAAAAAAAGCGATTTCAAAATACAAAAAACATGAAATAAGAAAAAATATTTTCAAGAAGCATTCTAATTTAATATTGTTGTTAAATAGTCTCTTTTAGCAAAACCTTCATTTACGCCCTCTTATCTTTGATCAATATTTATCTCTTCCGCATTTACTTCTCCTAATCCTTCATTTATATAAATATCAACCATGTCATCATTATCCAATAGACATAAATTATGTAGTATGCAAGCTGCTATTATTGTACTGGGAATAAGATCTGTCCTATTCATATCCAAATAACTTAGGCGACGAAACCTTCCAAATAGCAATGCAAATGACCTTTCAATCACTTGTCTGGTTTTTGCATGTACAGTATTAAAATTTCTTTGTCTTGGAGTAAGACGACCCCTATCAATGTAGGGACTTATACACCAATTAAATAAAGGATAAGCTTTATCTCCAATAATGTGTTCATTTTCTTCAAAATGTCTAGGGACATTATTTTGGATTTGATGGTATATATCAGAATTTCTGAAAATTCTGATATCTGACACGGAGCTAGGGTAGCCGGTGAAGCAATCAATAAACTTTAAGTCAGGAGTGCATATGGCCTGAAGAGTTATCCCATGAAAACATTTTCTATTAATATAAACTTCAGGATTTTCACGAGGAGCCTTAATTGGTACATATGTCCCATCTATTGCACCCACTACTCCTGGCAATCCAGCTATATTATAAAATGATTTTTTTATTGCACGCCTTTGATCTATTGTAGGCCACTTAATTATTTGAGGTGAAATTTCATTTAGAGCTGTAATGACTTGATGAAAACATGCAAATAAAGATGACTTGCTCAAGTCAAAACGACATCCAACTGATCTACAAATAAAGTTATGATGAAATATTATTTAAAGGTAATTTTAATTATGATGAAATATTATTTACAGGCTATTTTAATTACCTGTAGCTCTCAGGTGTTGCTAATAACCACAAAACTGATAATAACTGTTTCTTGGCTGATATTCGCAGCCTACCAACTGAACCTTCCTGCCTTTCTAAAGATGGAGCCAAGTGGTTTAATAGTTCTTGAAACTGCGCCCTAGACACACGGAAATGTTGTTGAAATTCTTTATTATTACAATTTTCTACAACTGTTTCAATAAATCCGGTAATTCTAGGCGGTTTCCTCCTATTAATTTCTTCCTCGATATAATCATCTTCGCTACTTGAGCTACTGCTTGCAAATAAATCCATCACATTAAAGAAGTACACAGACTATACTCTATGTCCACAGATCAAACCAAATGCTTTTTTTATTAAATAAACTTTAAACAGAAAGAATTTGAAAAGTTTTGAGGTTATAAATTTGTTTACGTCCTCTTCCGTTCGTAATTATAAGTTAAAGTAGAAACGCCCAGACGTTTTTTATCCGGGCGATCAACAAATTACAATCATCATTTACGAACGCACCCCAGGTGTCATTGAAGAAATAGCGCAATTTGAAGATGATAAAATTTCACTATATTTGGAGCAATATTACGCCGTATATTACGAAGAGCAATATTTTATTGGGAGAATTATCGCTATAGACAAAGAAAAATCAACAGCAACTATAAAGTTTTTAAAAGAATTATTAGAAAACTCTTTTCTTTGACCTACTAAAAATGATATGGATGAAGTCCAAATATTTCGCATTTTTTTCGGACCTGTATTATTAATTGGTAACGAACCTTTTTCAATGGATAACATTTAAAAAAAAATTAAAACTGCATACAGGCTGTTCAAATCTAAAAATAAGTTCCTATTCACTTTTAAATTTCTGTTTTTTATTTAATTTTTTATGTGTCAATAATATTATTAGCCATCCTTGCACATTTGTTTTTACTTACCTTTAATCCAAATACATCTTTTCATTATTTTTCTTGTTTCATTTAATAAAATAAATTAGTGGCATTTACTGTCCAGGTACACTGGCAACTACTGGTTTTTAAAAAATTTGTCATGGCAATTACTAGTGTTATGTACCTCAATAAAAAAAATATATATTGTACTTAGTGATATCTTTTATTTTTAATGTATGGTAATATAGCGACCTTCTATAAGTATCTATTAACCACATGGCTTTTAATTTAGACCAAATCTAAATTTCTTTTAATACTTTTTAGCTATTTTGTGTAAACACTAGCTTATAATGGCAATTACTGGTGCCATTACCCTAGTTCATAAAACTTGGCACTCGACATTCTACAAATTTTTCGTCGTCAGCGAACAAATCCGAAAATAAATGATGAACTCACCGTAAATGTCTCGCTTTTTATTAATATCATGGATCCAATACCTTCTGCTACCTTTATTTTCATCTTCCGCCAGAGCAAAAGCTGCAGCCAATACAAGAATTTCTTCTTCTGACTTCGATGAATTAATCCTTTTTCCGAATATTTTACTTATTTAACTGATTTAAATCACTATAGGTTTTTAAGTTGATTTTCAAAACCGTTTTAAATTCTACGCGTGTCTATTTTGCCGGGCTGTTCTGTGCCGATTCAATGTGCGCCCTGCTTTAGGAAAGCAGATCAGTCAGCGTTGCCACAGCTACCCCGAATCTACCCCTTTTTAACATTATTACACTCTCTCGCTTCTCTCAAGCATATCTACCCCGCTTTTAAAAAGTTATTTTAAAAATTCCAGGAAAAATCGGGAAAATGCATGAATTTAAATTTCTAATTTATATCATATAAACTATATGAGTATCATAAGTACGTTATTTAGTTGGTAGATGGCAGTGCATGGAATTTCGGGCATATGAGAATTTCTCATATGCCCGAAATTTCATTGCGAAAAATAAGAGTCTAGGCAAAAAGTAATTTAAGAAGTCTGTGTAAACAAATGGCTTAGTAAAATACCGCTGGTGTAACGAATCGCACATGTTTAAAATAAGATTTATTTACAATTCCAGAGACAACTTGTCTCAGACATGGTCTCTATAACAATTCTGCCAAGGGACTCCGGACTTCGTTAAGGAGTCTCCTTATGTATGGCATACCAAACCGAAGATCGGAACCATGAAGCATACATTGTATGCTTCATGGTTCCGATCTTCGGTTTGGTTCGGTTTGTGTATACGGGTGACGTAAATTAAGTTTGTGTATACGGGTGACGTAAATTAAGTTTGTGTATACGAGTGGCTTAAAATCAATTCCTCAAATACAGTTGTTATTTTAGGTAAGATACATTTTTTGATTGATTTATTTTATTTATTTATTTACTGCGTGCCGCACGTCGTATAATAATTACGTGCAATGACTCTATTTAAAAAAAAAATTAGCAAAACAAAATTATTTGTAAATAAAGTTTTTTTTAACTTTACTAAATTATCCTTGTTCCTGACTTTTTTGCGCACTCGCGTTTTATTTTTGAATAATTTTTATCTGTAAAAAAATAATAATAATAAAATATTTTTGGCATATTTGTTTGCATGTGTTTTGTTGTAAATTTATATATCTATATAGGTATATAAATTTATTTACTTAAGTCTACAATAATTATAATTTTTTAAAGGTTTATAATAAGAACTAAAACAAAAGAATCAACTAATAAACCCAAACATTTATTTGACGATCCTTAGCCGGGAACGTCAAAGTCTAGTGATTATACTTCAACTGAAGCTGTTATGGAAACAGCCGACAATCTTGAAAGGCGCAGTTTAAAATCTGAAAATCAGAATCGGAAAACTCCGACACTCATGATCTGAAGGTACACGAACCAAAAAGAAAACAAAAGAGGTATACTCAAAAATTTAAATTGGACTGGAAAACTCAATACAAATGGCTTAGAGAAGGTTTTGAGGGAAAGCCTATATGTATTTCGTGTAATATAAACATACACTGTAACAAATATACAAAGACATAACAATAGACTTTCACACAAAAAAATATTTTGAAACTTAAAAATACTCCAAAATTACCGAAATTATCCCCAATGAATAACAAAAGAGATTTGATACTTTAGTAAAATCGGCAGAGTTAGGTATATGTATGTTTTTGCACGAACATAATTTGTTAAATTTATCCCGCATATTTGCCTAGACTCTGAAGTAGCTAAGTCATTGGCCAGCAGCCGAATGAAATCAACCTATGTTACCAAGGAGTTTTTGGCAAAGCAACAAATTGAAGAAATAGCCGAAATTTTAAAATTTAAACACTTTTCTTTAATAATAGATGAAACGACATATGTCTCAACTGAAAAGTGTTTAGCATTAGTTGTTAGATACTATGACGATAAACAAAAGACAATGAAAGACATATTTTTTGGTCTATTAAAGCTAAATGACTGTTCAGCAGAAAGCATCTTTAATAGCATTATAGAATATATCAAACTTTTAAATATTCCAATAAATAATCTGATTGGTCTAGGAGCTGATAATGCCTCGGTCATGATGGGAAGGCAAACAGGTGTTCAAGCACGATTTAAACAAATATTACCCAGTTTGTTTGTATTAGGCTGCATGTCACTCGTTCCATCTTTGCGCATCTTCTGCGTCTAAAAAACTATCAAAAGACTTGGAAGATTAATTATTTTGCCAATAGCAGTATTGAAAGGCTTAATGAGTGCCAAGTATTTGTTAATATGAAGCCACATAAACTGCTTCACCCATCTCAAACCAGATGGCTTTCTTTACAGGTAAATTACCTACAAGTAAAAATCCTTTTTCTTTTTACGAATTATTTCTGTGTCCATGTCTGTCTCATTTTGTTACAGGTAAAGATGTGAGTAAATTACTTGTCAAAAAATAAAATAGGTTTTTTCTTGTGTTTTGAATGCTTTTAATAAATTTAATATTTTTAAATTAAATGTATATTACTTATTTTTTTAGGCAGCTGTAAATAGTTCTTGAAAACTGGAATCCACTGGTGCTGTTCTTTACAAATGAATGTTACAGGTAAAGATGTGAGTAAATTACTTGTCAAAAAATAAAATAGGTTTTTTCTTGTGTTTTGAATGCTTTTAATAAATTTAATATTTTTAAATTAAATGTATATTACTTATTTTTTTAGGCAGCTGTAAATAGTTCTTGAAAACTGGAATCCACTGGTGCTGTTCTTTACAAATGAATGTTTCGACCAAGATTTAAACTCTTGCAAGAAAATTTTAGAGAACCTACAAAATCCTATTTACAAATTGTATTTTAAATATATCATATGTACTAGATATCGTTAATAGGTTGAACCTTGAATTCCAGTCTGAAAAACCTAAAATTTATTTAGTTCAAAAAAGAATAAAAGACTTGTACAGAACACTTCTCAGAAAGTTTGTACAAAAAGAACATATTGATAAAACTCCTCTTAATAATATACTAGGTCATTTATTAAATTGGACAAAATTTACTTTGGAGCGCAGGTTGATTTGATGATAGATGGAAATATTAATGCAAATTATATTACAGAGTTTAAACTTAGATGTCTTGACTTCTATGTTGAATTATGTTCTCAAATAAAAAATAGGTTTGATTTTGATAGTCCGGTTATGGAATATATAGCCATATTTGACCCAAAAACAGCAGTGTCTGGAGAAATTGGAAGTATAGTAAAAGATACTCCGATATTGAAAAACTTAATTTTGAATGGCGTTTGCTTGCTGATATTGAAGATTTAAAGCAAACAAGTGAGCAAGCTGATTTTGAGGATTTTTGAGATGAAAAATGACACGGATGAATATTTATTTCCACATCTTTCAGATTTGGTAAAGGGAATTTTATCTTTGCCTCATATATCTGCTGCAGCAGAACGGGTGTTTTCACAATTGTTTTTGATAAAAACAAAAATTCGCAACAGGTTAGATGTTGATACTTGTTGCAGTATTTTACATTGCAAAGAACTATTAAATAATAACACTTGTTTTTCGTGGCAACCGTCTACAAGTTTATTAAAAAGAAAATTTAGAGAATAAAAATGTTTATTTACATTACAGATGGTTATTTATTTTTAGGCTGTTTAACTAATGTGCGTTCCTTTTATTTTTGTGATTTTTTTTGTGTTATAGAAAGTTTTTCAAGCTTTTGAATCAATAAAAAGTTTTGATTAAACAACATTTTATCATTATTCGTTTCATTTATTATATTGTTTACATAAAATTTGAGGGGCTCTTGTCAGGCTGCCAATAACACTATTTATCATAATGCTCTCCGAATGAAATAGTATATATTAGAAAACTTAACTTTAAAATGAACAATGTGCTTTTTCGCTTCAAAATACAGAAGATAAACTAAAAACAAGAACCAAAAACTCTGTAAAATAAGTTGTTATTATTATTACTCACTAACATGAGTCGTTAACGTTAGCCACTAGACTCAGTGGTTATCGGCCAATTAGATCGATTCAAATAAGGATAATCACTAATTCCAGTGGCTAACGTTAACGACTGATGTTAGTGAATTGGCCTGATTGTGTTTGTCATTGACCAATAAATTTTATCAGATAACAACTGATATCTGTCATTCTCTTCTTCTTCTTCTCAATTGTGCACTTTATAGTAAATACTAAACCACAGAATACCATATTCTGTGACTAAACTAGCTAGAATGCTAGAATTGCATGATACATCATGCTAGAATTGTATTTTGGGTGTCATTAGTTTCTCCGACAGTGTTGCCAGTTGATAGTGTGTTAGGCAATTTTAAATTAATATTCTACCAATGGAAAAAGTAAGTAAACCAAAAGGTTTAAAAAAATTCTACCTCGGACCGACCTGGTTCTACCCCGCTTTCACTTACGAATCTACCACGAAAAAATAAAAGCGTGTGGCAACGCTAAGATCAGTATCTTTTCGAGCCTTGAAGAGTACGTTCGTAGAAGTTCCTGTCAAGCCGGTACTACATAAAAAATTTAAAATCAGAAGTCAGATAAAACCGTGTTTGACTCGAGGATTGTTAGAGCGGGTGGATTCACGTCCCGGTGTTTTAAAGAACATTACGCCCGGTGAAGCTATTATTTTGCCTGCTTTTGTCCCTGAGCGAGATGAACCACAACGGTGGGTAATGGAAATATCTGCATTGGCGGCTGGTTTGGGCTGAAACTATGGCGTCCTTATGTGGCGAATTAAATAAAAATAAATAAAATAAAACAAATTTATTTAATATAATGGATTGTACACAAAGATAATATAATGTACAGTGCATATATATAAATGTTAAAAAAAACGGAAAAATGTAAATTAATTAATATTTAATAGTCTACAGAAGTCACAAAATTCACGTAGTGAATACGGCTCAATGTTGCAAATAAAATCAAAAAGTCCTTTTTTTAATGTGTTTAAATCCTTAATTTGTTTTAATGAATTTGGTAAGCAATTGAACAAGTTTATACAAGAGTAATAGCAGCCCTTTTCAAATAAACTGGTCCTATGTATTGGAAATAGGTACAGGTTGTGCCTTTTATTTTTACTATGTACCTCGTTAAAATATTGTTTGTTTTTAAACATAAAAATTATGATTTCATAAAGATAAATCCCAAATATGGTTAGTATGTTATGAGTTTTAAAAATACCTTTACATGATTGGCTAACCCTAAGACCAAATATATAATGCCATATCTCAGAATTAAGCTTATGAGCTACCTGCTCAATGTGAATTTTATATAAGTTTGATAAGGCTGTTGTGAGGTTACTTTTTTCTTGATTCAAAATGAGCTGGTTTTTACAGAACCATGTTTCAGTATTTAACATACATAGGTTGCTCTTAATTATAATATCACTATAGTCTTTGGCATTTATTAGAAGGTATGTATCATCAGCTTAATTCACAATGTTACAATCAACTGAATGTATAATGTCATTCATAAAGATTATGAAAACTAATGGACCTATGATACTTTCCTGCGGTATCCCAAATTTACTGCTCTGTTCTCAGACATGAAAACACCAGAATCACTTACAATTTCAACTCTTTGCCCTCTATTTGTAAGATATGATTTAACCCAATTTGGGGCACTACCTCTAATACTATATCTTTTCAGCTTTTTAAGCAGGATTTCATGGTCAGGGTGTCATATGATTTGGTAAGATCTAAGAAAATACCCAAAGAAAGTTTTCTGTTGTCTAGCAAATGTTTTAAAGGGGAGGGAGGTGAGTGATTTAGTAATTGGAACCCTGTAGATCGCCGTTCTTGGGACAGTTTAAAGAGGGATTTATGCGAGTTTTGCTGGTAGTGCTGACTTTGGTAAATTAATGCATGATGCAATAATTTATAATTCCAATGACTGTGTGTCATTTGGGTCTTATGGGCGTATAAAATTACAAAAAATAAATTCGCTGCATATTTCTTTAACTCAGACACAAACTGTTAGTTTAATTTGTTTTGGACTAAAAGATTCCGCTTTGTAAGCACAACTGAACCAAGCGGGGAACGAAACCACGAGTTCTCTTGCTCTTGCTCATTTATCGCGTATTCAAAATAAACCTAATATTACTCGACAAGATGCCCAAACTAAAAATACGACTGTTTGGATATGTTCGTGTTAATAATAATATTAAATGCTTTAATTGTGGTAAGATAGGCCACCGTCGAGCGGCATGCAGTGCTCCTTCGTGTATCAGTGTTAAACGAAAGAGGGATGACACTGCTGGTTCGTCTGGTCTGTCTAAAAATGTAGTGTCATGTAATTATAGTAAAAAAACTGGACATTCTTTTGAAAAATGTTTTAAAAGAATGCGCTTAGAAAAAACCGCTGAAAAACACGTAAACATTTGCGAATTACTAAGTATAAATAAGACTAATGACAATCTTTGTGTATATTTACTTAATATTAACGGCGTAATTTATGAGGTGCTTTTAGATACCAGAGCTCAAGTTTTGCTTATTCGGCAAAGTATCTCAAAAAATTTTTCGCAGACTTACATTGTCGAACAAAAATCAATTACGGGCGCAGGAAACAGCTTGTTTTATTCACTTTATGTAATATACGTTTAAACAATGTTAAACTTGCACATAAAATGTACGTTGTAGCAAATGAAACAATCTGTCATGAAATAATAATTGGCTTGGATTTTTTAAATGTTCCCGGGGTTTTGTTTACAAATAATCAGTCTGACCCAAAGTAGAATATAAAATTCCTAATCCAATTCACGATGTGTCAGTGAATAAAAAGCTTAAAACACTATTAAATGATTTTTCGGACATTGTAACTAATTGCTATGGGTGAATTTAAAATACGCCTTACTTCGGACAAAGAAATAAAATACCGTCGCAATAAGCCCGTGTTGTCAATATTTAACCCAAACCTCCCAACTGAGTTACATACGGATGGAAGTAGTTTTGGATTTGGGGCTATTATTTTACAAAATCATGATGGAAATAAGAGCGTCGTAGCCTATTTTAGCAAAGCAACTTCAGACGCTGAATCGCGTTACCATTCATATGAATTAGAAACATTGGCTGTAGGCATTTAATTTAAACTGGTAACAGACTGCAATTCCTTAAAAAGTTCTCAATATAAACGCGATTTAATGCCTCGAATAAGTCGTTAGTGGGTATATCTCCAAGATTTTGAGATTGAGCACAAGTCTGGTAATCAGATGGGTTACGTGGATTACTTGAGCCGTAATCCACCAAAAATATTAACAGTTAATCAAACCAGTTGATGAAAATGAATCTAAATCTTGTAATTTAATGCCTGACAGTTGGCTGTCCAAGTGTTTTGTTGGTAAGCACAATTTTTTTCTATTATAACTTATAACTTTGAAAGAAATTACTTCATATTAAAATCGCAATGCGCAATTAACAATTTTATCACCATAAAAAATACTGAAAATTATAAAAATATTTCATTCATCTTGAAAGTTTGTAGATATTTCTATACATCTATCTAAATTTGGTTAATATGTATAAAATATAAAGTTTAATAATAAAGGAGAAAAACTAGAATTAAATAATAATTGTTAAAAACTGAATTTTCTTACCTTTGACACTTTAATTTACAGCTGCAATATTAAGAAATATTCCACACTCCAAAGAAAAAGAAGTAGATGATTCAATAAAATTGGCTCAAGCATTCACAACAGCGATAGCCCAACAAGTGTTCGAAGGTAAAGAAATATAATTAAAATAAAAAATAAACCAGTGGGCAAACGCCAAATGTATCGGCGTATAAAAAAAACTGTGGAGAATACGGTAAGTGACATTAGACACACCCATTTTTTGCAGAATTTCTTATCAAATTCATGCAATACAAGCAAAGTTAAAAATCAAATTGAAAATTTAAATTTAATAGTTCAAGAAGTGAATCCATTGCGTGAGGTTATAAACATTGTAGAGCCTCATTTGATAATTCTGTTAGCGTCGAAAATACTACCAGTACTAATACAGCAGTTACGGTTTCAAATAAATACGTGACCGCTCTCCCAGATAGCTTAAAATATTGGGCAAACGAAAACAAAATCCCTAGGGTAGCATTGAGCAAACTTTTACGAATTTTACAGCCTTACCATCCATGTTACAGAACATTATTAAAAACCCCTGGCCATATAAATACAAAATTATCACAAACTGGCGAATACATTCATTATGGGTAAGAAAAAGCCAGCACCTGTATGGACCGCAGCTGCTCAGTTTGTAATTTACAACGTACACCTTCTAGTTCATTTGTTGCAGCAAATAAGTAGACGATTATAAGAGACCGATAACTGTTTTATTAGTACCCCCGATGTCTTTTAAAATGCGATCTTGAACATACTTATGGCCCAACGATTATCATAACGTTAAACAATATAAAAAAGTGTCATTTTAACATATTACTGTAACAACTATTGTTTATTCTCAAGCAGATTATTACGGCATGATTGATGACAAAATAATTGAAGACATTTTTTCAAAATCTGCTTTTTTTAGGATAAACAAAAAACTTAAAAAAAATGTCTGATATTCTACTAGATGACGCATTTAGCTCGATTTGAGCATTTTGTGACATGTGCGGTTTTTGAAAGAAAGTCTTCAATTGAAATTCATAACATCTTAAAAAGGGGTGATGGGTCTGTTTTTATTCTGGGTGTTTTCTACTTTAAAACCTATATTTTTATATCCGTTTAATTCACTTCAATTGCAGATAGCTGTAATAGACGATTTATGTAAAGAATTTTGTTTATGGGACCCCTGTAAATTACAGTATAAATGCATAGCCCTTCCTTTAAAAAATGGGTCCGGTCGTTGTGCTTTACCAATATTGCATTCACTTGAAGACAGTACCTAAGCTCCACAGCTCATGGATTACGTGCAAAATAGTACTAAAGAATGTTTTATTTTTATTTTAAAGGCATGTGTTGTCGAAACGGGCCTAAGTCGCTGCTTGACTCTGATTGGTCAGAGGTCGAGCAGAGCAGAGACCCGTTCGTCTATAAAAGAAAGGGCAATTCAACCTTTCAGTCAGTCATACTTGAGCTCTTCAAGTGACAAGCCACCAGCCTCCTGGTAGCATTCGACAAACCGTCTAGTTATACTACAAGCAGTTGTTTTAAGTCCTGGTAAAAAGGCAAAATCTGTTCTTCTTCAGAACAATACTTCCAAAGTCCTTAGTGTAGGCAAATCTGTTCTTCTTGAGAACAAATTCCACGGCGAAGAGGTCCACCCGGATCTCCAGGTCACTTGTCAACGACAGTGGCCACCAGCGAGTCTACCCACGTGCTACCGACGTCGGACCGATCCCTGGCTTCCAGCAGGGTCGCTTCCAGGACACCTGCAGGACGATTCCAGGTATCCAGCGAAGCCGTTCACTGGCTTCCAGCAGTGCTGCTTCCAGGCCACCCATCGTAGCACAGACGCTATGCGTGAAAGGAAGGGCAGGCCTATCCTAGATGCCTATCGAGCCGAACTTCGACGAAAACTACTTGGTGATGAGACTGGAGAACTAGAAATTGCACTGAACAACATGTCACTTACCGTACAACCTCGCGCAACACCTGTGACGGTTGCAACACGTGGAGTTGGCATAATCTGCTCCATTGAGTATTCACGGATGGCAACAACGTGGGATCTGAATACTATCCATCAGATTTGCACAGTGTATCAGAGTCACACTCGTCATGTTACAGTACAAAATGTACCTCGCCCAACAAATCCAGTATGAATCCAAGTCATTCACAACTGGTCAGGACATTGTACTTAACAAGGAGATGAGACCAAGTAGTAACCACCATCAGGCAGCTACCAAGCGCCACCGCCGCACTACTGTCATCAGTCGGCAAAGTCGAAGCAGATGGACGAGTTTGGCACTCCATCTTTCCGGAGTTACCCGAAGACCCTGAACAACAAGTAGTCTTCCGCACCCTCTGTATTAATGTTACGAACATTCGCCAGCTAGTGGTCGCCCTCGCAGACCCCAACACGCCGCTAGCTTCCAGGGAGTACTTCATCGCCCACAATTCCCTGCCGGGTGCGAATTTTCAAAACGCATTATTACAGAACCCCGACGATATCTGGCCAGAGATATACGACATTGAGGACCTACAAGAGGACATCCACGCGTACAACAACCTCCTTACGCGTATCGGTCCCCGTATGCCTGGACACTTCCTAACTATCGTTGAATGGAGTGGAAGCGCTACAGAAAGCGCACTAGCATGTTCTGATGTCCATGAGATGCGTATCCAGACCCAGTGGGAGGTGCAACCCGTTCGAGAACGAGGAGCCGCAAGGCGAAGAGACGTACGCGGTAGACTTGTTGCCGCAGAACAGCACGTCGCACTTGTCCCCACAACGGAAAGGATCCAAGGAAGACAAGCATCACTGCATTGAAACATCGGAGTAACAAGGCCACCTGCAGCACGTTTCCAGTATCCAGCGGGGCCGCTTTCTGGCCCCAGTAGGGCCGCGTCCAGGCCATCCAGTAGGGTCGCTCCCAGGCATCCAGCGGGGCCGATCCCTGGCCCCCCAGTAGGGCAGCTCCGGGAATATCCATACTTCCGCAGGAACTGGGCCGTCGAGTACAACATGGCGCCCGAGCAGGGACTTCGTATGAAGGAATATACCAGGTTCCCACCACGTTTCAACCCTTATACCCGGATCTTGGAGAAATGGTGTACGAGATGGCGAGGGCATTGAAAGATGTTCCGGTTCAGCGGAGTATCTTTCCGACATTTAGTGGAGAAGATTACGAAGATCCACGGTTCTTCCTAAGGGAAATGGAAGAAGCCCTCAAGAAAAGGCACATTCCAGACGATGAATGGGCCTTCCACGCACTGAGCCAAATCAAGGGCAAAGAAGAACAAACCTTTGCCTGGTATAAAACCCAGGAGATTAGCTGGTCTCGTTTCTTGGAGGAGTTCAAGGAAACGTTTATGTCAAAGAGACGAATAACTAAGTTAATCTCGAAATTCTATGGAGAAAGCCAGTCCGATGAAGAAGACGTCGTGAGGTTTATCCAGAGAAAACGATCCATGGCAAGGTGGTTACTGCCCAGTACCTAGGAGAACCACCTTGTCGACGAAGTCTTCAAGCTGCTTCTACCCCGGGTCCGCTACGCGCTGCGACTCAAGATGCCCATGGAGATGGACGAGCTGATGCGCTGTGCCCGCGCCTTGGAAATAGATCTGCGAGCGTGCGATTTTAACCTCGCTACCCAAATCAAATTCAAGGAACCAGCGACGCAGCCGGAAAACTTCCAGAGGAGGGGTGCCTACAAAAGCACTCCTCCGAAGTAAACGTGGTGCCAGAAGGCATGGGCCCACCCGTGATATCAGTTGAAGTTCACGGGCAGCCGTTGAAGCCGTTGGTAGACACCGGCGCGAGCATCACGCTAGTAGACCTAGCATATGCTGAAGACTACGTACCTGAAGCAAGAAAAATCCGGACCATTGGTGATGCCCAGCTACAAGTATTGGGACAGGATCCATTTCCGCATCAGAGGGCAGTCTTACGTGCATACCATGCACGTGGTGGGAAGACTTCCATATCCTGTCATATTGGGGATGGATTTCTTGGAGGCCCAACAGACACTGGTGGACGTCGCCAGAGGTTGTGTATACCTCGGGAAGAGAGAGCGGCTGGCGTTGTTCTGGAGGCCAGAGAAGGATCCGGAACTTGACATGGAGGCGATCCAGCTTCCGGAGATACCTGGTGACGTTCCCCAAGACCTTCGCCTACGCATGGAGGACCTGGTGCATCAACACAAGGGCCTGTTCAGCAGTAAGATGCGGCCACCTTCCCAGGTGCTGCGACCAGCCCTCGAAGGTATTCAGCGGAGAAGGCCGCAGAAATTGAACACCAGGTGCAACAGATGCTCCAGGGGGGCATTATTGAGCCGTCCAATTCGCTCTACGCGTCACCAGTGGTCCTGGTGAAGAAATCGTCAGGGTGGCGGTTCTGCGTGGATTTTCGAGAACTTAACAAGAGGACGTCAGATGTCATCAGTGTGTTGCCACCGATAGTGGAAACGGTTCGGGATCTGGGGCAAGCCAAGGTGTTCTCCAGCCTGGACTTGACGTGTGGCTACTGGCAACTTCCGATGGAGACGGCGTCGAAGAAATAAACAGCATTATTTACACCATCTGGAGGGCAATTCCAATTTCTTGCCATGCCATTCGGGCTGAACCTCGCTCCAGCAACATTCCAGAGAGCCATGATCTTTTCTGGGATGTTGAATCGATTCGTAAAGGTATATTTGGACGACATCATAGTGTATTCCGAAACCTATGAAGAACATGTGGAACATCTTCAACGAGTAATAGAGAAGGTCGAGGTCCACCAGCTCAGATTGAACCCAGAGAAATGCAAGTTCGCTACCCAACGCTTGTCGTATCTGGGTTACGAAGTTGAGGGAAAGTTCACTCGAGCTCGAGAATGCCACTTACTGAAGATCAAGAACTTCGAGAAGCCCCGAAACAGGCGTTCTTGGGGTTGGTGAATTGGCTGCGCGGCTACATCCCCGATCTAGCCACGCTGATAGCGCCACTGACCGATCTGACTGGGAATGAAAAATTCAAGTGGACAGAAGCCTGCAAGGACAGCTGGGCCAAGACGAAGGTCGCCTTGGAGAAGCCCCAGAAGCTGGAGATACCCCATCGAGGCTGGAAAATCATTCTCAACACTTCACCATCCGGACGGACAACAGGGCCTTGGTGTGGCTTCAGAGTTACAAGGACGACCGGGCCAAGCTGACCAGATGGGCACTTCTACTACAAGAGTTCTCGTTCCAAATCGAACATGTGTCAGGGAAATCGAATCAGCTGCCCGACTACCTGTCCAGAAATGCAGCTGAGTGTCCCGGAGGTCCAGCAGTCCAATACGACGAATCGATCCCGACACCAGAGGTCTGCGTTATCAAGGACGAACCTCTCATCCAGGAAATCTTAAAGAAACAATTGGTGGACCACGTCACCCAGGGTTTCAAACGGGCCGAACAGGATGGACCTCAGGACGACACGGATCGCAGCCTGGTAGCCAATTTCCTGGTCTCAGCCGACGTCCGAGAGACGTCCAGATGGAACGTGCCGCGTCTACGTACCGGAAGGGATAAGGAACAAAGTGCTGGAGTACTTTCACACCAGCGAGGCCGCGGCCCATCCCGGACAGAAAGAAACTCAACTAGCCATCGACGAACGATTCCATTGGGACCAGATGGGGGCCCATATTCGACGCTACGTACAAGCTTGCCTCGTATGCAAGCCTATCAAGGGCGAAATCTCCAAGTCGCAGCTCCAATGACCACCCACAAACCAACCAAGGCATGGCAGATGATATCTATTGACACATTGGGCCGTTACCGAGGAAATGGAGTGTAGTATCCAAGAAATAAGTATACAATTTTTATATTTTCAATTTATTATTTTAAGTAATATTTTATAAATTAATTTTGTATATTGCAAATAATCATGATTGCTCAGCACTATGGTAAAACTATATCGTAAGTCTGCGGGGTCAGAGTTCTCTAACATTCAGTAGGTTAAGAAACATATAACGAAATTGTAGTATTGTAGGTGATTGCGGCCTGACGCGAGGACGGCTACAGTTACCAAATAAACATTTAGATTAATGAGTTTATAGAAGTCTTATCATTTTTCCCAACGAACCTTCAAATCAGTAATGAAGAGTGAATAAATAAACTATAATATATATATATATATATATATATATATATATATATATATATATATATATATATATATATATATATATATATATATAAGAACACAAATATAACATGGCGATCCTGCCAAGGCACATTGTAATGTGCACATAGTTGGTTTAGTGTTAAAAATAAAAGTAGTGAAATATGGAGAACAAAGTGGTAAAGCAAGAAGAGGTGATCATTGCTCCAACAGTGGAGGAGCTACAGCAACCCTAACCGCCGCCCAAAATGTTTAGGTGTTAAAATATATAATAATTAACTCAGTAAATTTTTTAAGAAAATAGAAATATATTAAATTAATGAGTGCCGCTTATGCTGAGTTTCGATCTATTCATCAAGGGTTAGAACAGTTTTTAGCAAATCTTACTAAAGATAATCAGCAGCGTCGCAAATGCAAAAAGACTACTGCCAGAAAAACAAAAGACATTGATATAATATACGAAAACTTTTGACAGCCTTAGAAAAGATTATAATTCGAAAGACCGTCTGACGATATAGATACAGTTAAACGAATAGTAACTGTCATTAAAGGTCAAATTGATACAATTCGAAGCATTTTAGATGATAGATCCAAACTTGCAGAAGTGGTAGAATTAAACGATAGTATTAGTCTAAATTTACAACAAATTGTCACCATGTCACCAATTTGATATTAAAACAGCAGCTACCCTAGTTCCAAGTATGGACGGCACGGAAGCGACTGTTAAAAAGCTTATTGATGCCATTAAGTTTTATGATGCCTTGCTTAATGATGCTGGTAAAGTTTTTCTAACGGACTATGTCCTAAAAACCAGATTGTCAGATAGTGCGAAATTAAGGTTAAAATCTAGTTACGGCTCGAATACAGCATTAATTGCGGACATTAACAAAAATTTGCTATCCAAAAAATCCGCGACTTCAATTTCAGTTCAGTTAGGTAACGTAAAACAGGGAAATAGATCGATAGAAAGTTACGGGAAAAGCGTTGGGGAATTGTTAATAAATTTAACTATTTCGCAAGCCGAGAATGACGATGCGGCTCTTTCAGTATTACAAGGTACAAACGAAAAAATAGCGATAAATTCCTTTACAAATGGTCTAAATAATAGCTCGTTGCGAACCATCATACAGCCACGAAATTATGATAATTTAACTGAGGCCATTTGTGGTGCTCAGGATGCGAATGTGCAGCAAAGGGAGGCTACCCCAGTTTATCATATGCGCGGTCGTTCCTTTATCCGACGCAGTGGTTTTCGAAACAATCAGTCCAGACCTAATAACACTTTCCAAAATTCTTAGAACACGAACAATAACCACTCTAATCGCAATAATAATAATAACGGTCATCGTGGATTCAATCCAAGGAACCGAGGTCAATTTAGAGGATATCGAAATGCAAACGGTCGAACTATTTTTAATAGCAATAATAATAGAAATCAAAATTTCTCGCAAAATAGTAATTTTCAACGAAATCGAAACAACTTTGGAAATAGTCAACAAACATACTTTATGAACGACAATACGCCATCCACAAGTGGGATTAAAACGGCTAATCATAGTCAAAATTCCGATAATTCTTAAAATTGGTTTATTCGGGACTAATAATACAGCAGACAAAGCAAAAATATTTCATGCAAATGGATTAAATTATATTAAATTAGGTTACCGGGAAAAAGAATTAATTTTATTGGTTGACACGGGTGCATCTATTAGTGTAATTTTTCCAAATTATGTTCACCCAGATGATATTATTCAGGATTCTCAAAAAGTTAAAATTAATGGTATTTCGGGTTCAAAATTTTCCGAGGGCTCAGCGAATATTTCATTGCATACAGACAATCACAAATTCCATTATAAATTTTTGCTGATGGAACAATTTCTACAAAATGTTCAGGGGGTCA